TTGCCTGTCAGTAAACAGGGAAGGGGATAGTTACTGCTCACTCCTTACGAATTCACACTGGCAACCATGCTCAGAGGTTGCCAAAGCCTCTCATTTTTGTACTGTCTCATCTGTGTAGGCTCTGTGGCATACGCAGTGCTAGGCAGGGAGCTCAGGCTCATATTCTGCGGTAGGGCAGTTTGTGGCTTCCTCCCTGACACAACTGGAGGGTTGCCTTGAGTGTGCACTGTATAACATGCCACCACCCTGTCTGAGGAGTGCTCAGCAGAGCACTGCAGAGCTGGATCGCTGCAGCCAGAGCTCTGCCACTGCCCTCTCCCTTGAAATAAATATGCTGTGGTGCTCCCAGTGTGACCGCAATTCCCATTGCCTCTGCCTGGGAGGAGCTGGGTTCACTCACACACCTGCGTGCTTGCTGAGGCTGTTCTGATTTGTATGCTGCTCAAGCTGGATTCGAATCACAATCCTAATTATGTTTGCCTTGTATATGATGAAGGTTACATTTTTGACTGTTGTTGCTGGGTTAGAAACGTAATTGATTAATGTAGTGCTTAAGAAGGGAAAGAGGATTAAGGCGGTGGTGAGGCTGTGCTGCCAGACTGCCTCATACTTTCACAGCTTCAGCTTTTGTTTGCCTGCTTGTCTGAGCTCCCAACTTGTTATTTCTTATGGCTCTGAGCTTGTTGGCAGATCCCTGAAAGCCAAGCCTCCTGCAGGGAAGGGAGCTACTGCCCTGGAGAGTTACATGCAAAGAACTAGTCCACAGTCTAGGTTTAATTCCCTTATATGTGAGGGCAAATGCACTTGCTTTTTAGCTGTGGTCTGTTCAAGGGGAAATGTATGTAGGAAGCTTCATAGTCGCAAATAGGTGTAAACTATTGACTGAACAAAGCAGCACAGCCTGGAGAAGGTCCCCCTGTCGATGACACTGCAGTTTTGGGGAAGAAATCCTCTTAGTGCTTCTGCAGAGCACGTGGAGGTGGGGAGATAAAAGGTGAACACAGCATCGGTGCTGGCAGTAGCAACTGCACACAGACAGGCACTGCTGAGACTGCACTTGATAGAGAAATGGCAGCAATAGCTCATGCAATATTAAATAGGTTTTAAGCCTTTTGCTTCTTGCAGCTGAGGCTCTCTTTACAGCCCATGAGGCACCTTAGTGGTGTTCTGGGTCTGAGGCATGCATCTGTGCAGTGATGTGGCTTAAAAATGGCAGAGTTCTGTTAAGTAACTATGGACACTGGCCCACCATTACTGGGGAAAGCAGTGAAGTTCTAGCAGGGCCCATAAAAGCAGATTTGTTGGCCTGTGTATTGCCTGAATAGAGGATCTTAACAGCTTGTGATCTTGTGGTCACAGATAAATTGGACAACATCGCTGGAAGCACAGGGAATGTCACCAGTCCATTCAGTGACACATGACATTAACTTGACTTCTTAGCACAAGAGAATTCTGAGCTTCCACTGCTTTCATGACAAATTAATTCAGAGTCTGAGGTACGTGGAAGATTTCTGTTGCCTCCATTCTGGAAGCATGCTGCACCCATTTCATTTAGATTAATTTTATCTTGACTAAGTGAAGCCATGTATAAAGCTAGATACGTGAGGTTTGGACACACAGTCTTGCACTGAACCACTGCAGCAGCTGCAGTGCCTTGCAGAAAGGCAGAATTAGCAGCTCTGAAAGCACCACCAGAGACACCCATCACAACTCTGGAAGCACTGCAACTAGCCAGGCTCAGCACAAAGCCCTTGCCCTTCCTGACCTGTCCTGTGCCACTCAGGAAGTGTATCACACACCTCCAGCATGGGGTATCTCTTCCAGCCCTGTGCTGGCTTTCAGAGGGAGGTGGTGGGAAGCCCTGACTCTTCCCTGCTCTTTCCCTTCACCTCATCCACTTCTCTCTTGCTGCCTGGTCCTGTGAATGCTTTCCAGACACCTTTTCTGACCTCCCCAGCTCTGTGTTTTCCCCTGGCAGACACACAGACCCTCAGGAAACCCTACAGAAAGGTAAGGGAGAGTTAGTGTGACTGGCAGGAGGCCTTTCAAGGCAGCAGCACAAGGTCCCTTTGTACCCCCCTGTGCTTTTGATCAGCCTGTAAAGGGGGACAGTACAATTAAAAAGGCAGGGCAACTGCAGTTACTGAAGCAAACACCAGGAAGTGGCACCTCCAGGGACAGTCTGTGGTCCCAGGCTTTATTGTTCAGCCACCTGCCTTTGGGGCACAGAGGTGGCTGCTTGCCTGCTGATGCTTTCATTAGGCTGATGGGAGGTGTAAGGGAAGGCCCTGCCACCTCTCCAGGGATTACCATACATTAGACCATTTGAAAGGATGGTTTAGGGCAGAAGAAACAGTTGAGGAAAGCCCTGCAAGGACTTAAAATGTATCTTGCTATGGGGCTGTCACATTTCCAGCCTTCAAGAAGCAGAAATATTTGATATATTCTTCATATATATATTTATGATAGGTATATATATTTCTTTATATAACTTTGATATATAAATATAAATTGATGTATTTATAAATTTTATAATATGTCCCTCTGGGATACCTTTTTTCTTTGTGTCTCATAAAAATATTTCTAAAGCGCTTTTAGAAAACCTGGCTCAGAAAGTACCACAAGTTTCAGGCTATGGGCTGCAGTTACAGTTCATAACAGAATTAAGCCATCTTAAACCCATACAGGAGGGGCTGAAGGCAGCGTTTGATGCTGCTAAGCTGCTTTTTGAGTTTGAAACCAGTAAGTGCACAGATTGTATTGGCTCTAAGCTCTTAGCAGCAGTGCTAAGCCACTGACAGCAACCACAGGCCTCCAGGGGAGTATGTGGACAAGACAGCCAGGCTGTAAAGGTCTGACCTGAGCAGGCATGAAGCGTGACAGTGCTGGTGGTGGGTTCCAGTGGTGTTTGCATGGGAAGCTCGGTGCTCTCTCCATCACTGTCTCTGGCAGAGTGAAGTGAGTGCAGCCATCAGGATGACACATAAGAAATCCTCCTGCTGAGGAAGGTGACTCCACTGACTAAGACTTCCATGTTCTCCAAAGATCTCAGTACTTTTAAAACCTTGTTTACAGTTCATGGCAGGCCTGGCAAAGTTATCAGCTGATTTTATTTCTTTCCAGCTTGACTAGTTTTTCTCCATCTATATCCAAAGATAGAAAGACATCTCTCACCAAAAAAAAACCCAAGTACTTAAAAGCTAGTAGAACAGTACAAGAAGCAGGGCTTGAAGTGAGAATTGGAGCATAAAAGCATTCTCTGAAGCATTTCCTCCTCTGGGGAACCTTTCAGAGCCAGATTGTTACACACCAGTGACACAGCATTTAGACTTAGATGGGCGATAAGAAACAGGTCTCTAAGTCTGTGGGTGAGTGTCCAATGTTGAAGGGCTTCTCTGGCTGTTCTGTCCTGCTCAGCCAGCCTCTGGACCCTGGACTGTAGCTGCCTCCTGGAGCTAGCATGAGTCTCCCTCAAGCTTGTGGCCTGGTCAGCAGTGTCACCCACTCCAGCCTTTGAAAGATAACAGCCACTGTGCCAAACTGACCTGCTGTCCTGCTACACCATAGATGAATTTGGATCTTAAACTTCTGGCATCTGATTTATGTTTTTTCTCTCACCTAAGGCACCCTGAGGGATTTGAACTTAGGAGATCCCCAGACCCACTTCAGTCTGCAGCGCAGTGCCATGAGCAAACAGGAAAGGGTAGTACTGCTCACCTCAGTCTTTTCCAGAAGGCTGCAGTGTAGCCTGTCTGGTGCTACTGGAAAAGCAAACAGGCTTTTCCTAGGAGTCTTGTCTGTGTCACCTGGCACTACCCAGCTGCTCAGCACAAAAGCTCTTTTGGGCTTCGCCAAGGTCACATTTGGTTTGGATAACACCATGTGTGCCGCTTCTGCCTTGTACACAAAGCTTGCTGCTCACCTCGGTGCCATCCTGCACATGCTATACACCTTGTGCAGTGCTGCAGATGGAGCCTTTCCAGACAGTCTGTCAGAGCATCACTAGAGATATTAGCCTTGTTAACCTTTGAAGCAAAGCACATTTCTAATGTCAGCACAGCAGAGGCCAACATACAACCTTCCACCTTCCCCTACTTTTTGTCTCGCCATAAAAAATGTTTTGGCTTTTTCTGTGCTTACCACAGCAGTTCTGTGTGGCTTAGCCCATGTTTGCCTCATTGCGTCAGTCTACACAGTTCACTTGTAAGGAATTTTCATCCACACCTTAAAGAAATTGAGGAAGATGAGGTTGTGAAGGCTCTGGGGCACAGGTTCTACGTCAGTGATTGCAGGGAGCAGTGCTGAAAAGGAAGAAATCCAGAGGGAAAAGTGGACTGCTTTAGAGGAGCTACCTTGTGAAAAATGCTTTGAAGAGCAGTGACTAAGTGCCTCCCTGCTTTGTGCCATCATCCCACAGGGCAAAGGAAAAGTGCCAAGGTGCCATTCCCAGACCTCCCCTGCACCCAGAGGGACTGCTGATGGGGTACTTGGCCCTGCACTCGCTGGTGTCTGCTGGTTACTCTGCAGACTGATGCCCTGTTCAGGCATCAGCCTGGATGATTCCAGCAGAGATTTCCTCCGTCTTTTTGCTGCAGTTTGAGCCAAATACAGGGCTGGTGTGCAAACAAGGTGTTTGTATGCCAGAGGCATGTGCTTGGTGAGGAACAGCAGATCGTGTCCAGGAGGCAAGGGCATGATTCCTTTTAGGACTATCCAGCTTCAGTGAAGCACGTGTGACACTTCGGCTGGAAGGGACAGGACGGGATGCTGAGGGGATGCAGCAGGGCAGTGGCGAGGGGAGCACCCCATGGAGGGGACACCCTCGCGGGACGCTGCTGCTGGCAGCGCATCCCCCATGGCAGCTTCCTCCTCTGGGTAACTGGCAGACCCCCTTGTCCGAAATCCCACAGACCGCAGGCTGGCTACCCTCAATTTCCTCCCGTCTGTGCCATCTAGTGCCCAGTACAAGAACTGGGACTGACCCAGCCTCTCACCCACAGGGGAACAGCCCGGCCGCTCTGGAGAAGAGGCTCTCCTCTCCCTGGGCCAGGCGGCAAGCCCTGGGCCAGGCAGGGATGTACTGGGAGGACCCCTGAGATGCCGCACCGCCTGCATGGAAAATCCCACTTAGTTCCAGGTAGGATCGCAGCGCGCAGGTGTGTCTGTGGGGCGGATGGAGCGGGGAGAGTGACTCTGTTCCGAGGCTGGAGGTGAGGTGAGGCTGGGTGATATTATGCTGCCAGAGGCTGCAGGTAGGGAGAGGAAGGCTTGAAGTTCTCGGGAATCCTGCGTTTGCTTTTCAGGCATTGCGTTCCCATGGCATGCTCTGACGCTGCACACGTGTTTTAAGGAACAAAAGTACTGACCTCTCACTGGAATTCTCCTTTTTGGATAGATTTCAATGCTGTTCCAAGGGGAACTACAGCTAGCTTTACTTAAGTGAATGCCCTAGATTGTAAAACACTTTTTTTTTTCCCCAATGTAAGTATAGGTTGTTTGGGCATAACCTTTGTTACGCCATTTCTTAGGTAAGGTCCTTGTACTAAGTTGTTATTTTTGTCAAAAAGCGTCTATAGCTGTAGCTTGGTTTGCCAGCTTTGGTTCTTAACTCTGCCCTGTCCTCTTTATCCTTTTCAAAGGAATACTTCTCCTCTTTACAGACCCAGTTTAATTTATAAGCCCTAAATAAGAGGGGATAAATCAGGAGCTAACAAATTCTTGCTTCCTTCTTGCTGCCTTTTTATTTTATTTTTTCCACAAACCTGTGTAAGAGAATTAATGGTGTTGAAAAGAGCTGCTAACTCAAGCCCATCAGAATGTATCTATCCTTCATATTGGTTTATCACAGACAGACTTTCATATTTCTTTATATTGAATTTCATCTGCTCTTATTTGCCCTGTTTCTCAAATGTTTTCACGTTTTTCACAAGCTCTTAGAAACTTTCCTGATGTCCTTTGCTACCTCCATGTTATCTTCTGCCACTTCATTACTGGGCCGCCAGGAAATATTATATTATATATATCATATTTTATATATTATATATGTTATAAATATATTGAACATGCTGCCCCTAGCATGTTCACTCTAGCAGGGCACCCTGCTCAGCTTTTCCCGTGTGACATTTTGATCATTCCATCTTTGCTGTAACTTGTATTGGATTAAAAATTATTATCTGATACCTGCTTCCCAAAACTTCTTATCAGCAGCTTCTGAAGTTAGTAGTAAAGTCATTCAAGGAGGAGACAAATGTATTTTTGTCCTCAGGATCACATCCAGGAGTCTGAGCTCTGCTTCTCTTTGCTTGTGAGCTGCGTCTGCTGGTTTGCTCCCCATGGAGCTCTGCAGGTTTCCCTCTCCAGGACATACTGCACAGGCATGTCAGGCTGTTTCTGAAATGTAAATTTTCCTACTAATTTACTTTCTTTCTTGGTACTTAAGCAAGCCTGATTGCTTAGGAAGTCTCAGTTGCCTTTTCAAATGTGAAAAGGTTAAATTGCCCCTTAGCACCTGATAAGCAACTGGTTGTAGTGATAGCTGGCATGCTCAGAGCTCTTCTGGGGCTGCTATTGATCTTGGCATGTTATTGCTTTTTAAGGGACTGATCTTTGAAACCAAGGCTCCAGGAAGTCATTAAAGGATGTGTTTGCATCCTGCTGTGCACTGAAACTGTGAGGATTTCAGTGGGAAGGAAGCTCATCTTGAAACAGATGCAGTGTTTATCAGCTTTCCCTAATTACTGCTCCATCTTCCTGGAGGTAGTATTCTCCAGAGCATCCCCTCGCAGCAGGAGGCCAGTGCTAGTGTTAAGTCCCCACTTGCCCAAAGCTTACTTGGTCCCATCTGTGCTCTGGAGAGCTCTTTTCTAAAGCTCTGGCCTCGGGCAGGTGCTGGGCTATGCTGCCTGCGTGGCTGTTTGCACACCTGCACTTGCTCTTTTCCTGGATCGATCGGTGCGGAGGCACGGTGGGTTCTCTAGCGAGCTCCCGGCTTCTCACAGGTCTGTAAGCTCCTTTACTGCTTTCTCACTTTGGGACTTGAAGTCTCTAGGGCTTCCTGCCTTCCCCTGTGTAATTCAAGACTGTTGGTGTGCCACAGTCTACGTAGGCTTTAAAGTGTTTGTGTGAGATGGGTGCCAGGAAGAGTCCTTTCTGGAGTTTGTCCCCAGAGCCTCTTGACAGGGAAGCCCAAACTCTGTTTTACTTGCAAGGAAATGGAGGCTCAGACAGTCAGTGTGGTTTATTGCAATAATTTAGCAGTAGAAACAGGAGTAAACCCCTGTTCACCCTCCTAACCTAAGCACTATAACTCCGAGGCTACATGTTTCCCTTCCCCAGCCCCTACCCATGCAGCAGTTGTAATCTAGGGAGGTTGGTGCAGTGGTCTCATTCCCCTGTGCTAAGGAGATGCTTGGCCTTACATGCATCATCTTCCCTCGTGGCAGGGCAGCAGCTGTGCTGGGAATGTCGGGGGGCTGAGTTCTGGGCAGGGCTGAGCTCGTTGCTGTGGCTGAGCCTGGCTCTGCCTGGCCCGGCTGGTTAGAGCAGTGGAGGGCAGGGGCTGTGTGTGACAGCTGGGCTCCCAGCTCCCCAAACATGCGTCCCAGCCTTAATTGCAGTGGGTGTAATTAGCAGTTGAGAAACTATGAGTGTGATTTTAATAAGCTGCGAGTAATGCAGTTTGTCTTTTCTGGAAGAGATGCTTTGCAAACAAAAACTAATTAAAAAGCACACACACAGAGCAAACAGCAGCTCTGCAGTGAGTGCCTTACTGCTCTATGTGCAGTCTGGCCGGCGACCTGACCTGGCACCTGAGTCCCCCTTTGGGTCAGTCTTCATGATAGGGTTTCTGGGGGACTAACATGTGAAAACTACAGGATTTGGCTCAATTGTGGGTTTTATAAAAGGCTCTTCCCTGTCTTCACAGCTCCCCTTTGATATAATGTTTTTCCTTGATAAGGTTGAGTCTCCTGGGTGTTATTTGCTGCCTTTCATTCCTGTCACCATTGTGTTTCTGTGTTCTCTCACATGAGCCCAAATTAGCTCGAGGCTGGTGGGATCTCTGTGGCAGGGCCAGTGAGGCAGCCAGGGTGGCATAGGGGAAGGCAGGAAGCCCTTTCAAGAGCAGCCAGTGTTTTCTGGTAGCCTCAGATCTGAACAGCCAGACTGAGCCCTGAGCTGATCCCTTCTCCTTCCTGCTCTCTTAAGAATACAAAAAAGAGGTCTCTTTTATCTAGTCTTCTGTCTTTGCACAAGCCTGCCTGGCACCACTGGATTTCAAAGTTGATTTCTGGCCAAGGGAGCTCTCATGGGAGAGCAGCTTAATTGAGTCCACAAGGTCTGCTTCACCCAAACCCCATTTCACACCAGGCTGACCTCACCTCTTCCCCCATGCTGAGAGGGAGGGACGAGGCCGCTTGCCCCGCGGCAAATGTCCATTTGTGCCTGATGGCACTGGCTGCTGCAGCTCTTGTAGTATAAGGGGTGCCTATGTTTGTAGTACAGCTCCTCTTGACCTGTGGGAAACACCCTGAACTTTGAGAGCACAGAACCAGAGGAATGCCTGTAATTTCCTATCTGTTGCTATTTCTCTCTGTCTGGGACCAGTGGTCAGGGGTCCCAGGTTGATAAAGGGTGGGGTAAAAGCAGCTTGCTCAACTCATATCCCTTTGTGCTGTGCTATGCAGGTGTGACTGGCCTGCTGCCTGCTCTGCCAGCTAGCTGCAGCCCTGGCACATTGGGAAAACAAGCAAGGCTTTCCCCAGAGACCAGGTTGAAATGTGGTAAAGGGATCTGTGATTCCCACTGGAGTGGAAAGGGCAGCAGGTGTGGGCTTAGCAGATGGGAAAACACTAGGCATGTGGCCTATCCCAACAGAAAGAGGCTGTGGAGAGAATGCAGGGCAGCCCATCTGTGCAGGTTGGAGAGGCCAAGTTCGTGTGCCAGCTGGGCCCCTGTGCAGCACTCTCTATCCAGCCTCTGTGGCATGCATGCTGCTCCCAAAGCCATAGCAAGTGGGTCTTCCCTGGAGCCATGGTGGTACAGCCTCTGCCTCCAGCCCACTTGGATGTTCACAGTTTCCACAATAGGTTGCAAGTGCTTTGAGGCAGAAGCCTCTGATTCTGGTATCTCAAAAGCAATGGCCATCTCTCTGCCCTTTGCAGCACCAAAACAAAGCCTAAAGGGGGCTGGACAGGGGGCCAGATAAACCAGACAGGGACTGTTTTCTGACATCTAGGGCTTTGGAACCTACACTTGAGATGTGAGTCTTGTTTGCCTGATAGCAGGTTGCCTCTCTCAGGATGGGAGACCTGTTGGTATTTGAAACACTTATCCATTCCAATGTTATGCTCTGCCCGGAGGAGGAGATGCTGTGAACATTAAACCTGCCAGGTTTCTGCACTCAGATGCAGAGGCCTTTTGAGTCTCTGTGGTCCTTTTGGATGTAACGTGTGACCACCATCCTTGGAAAGCATGGAATCATCCAGTGATTTCAGCGTGTACCCCTGAGCTGGTGGAAGGTGAACATGCTTGACTGCTCAGCTGAAGCATGGGCTGTGACGGGAGTCATTGTACAATAGTGTCCATCCCACATGTGGGCTGTGGCTCAAGAAAGTTATTTATCAAGATTAAACCTGTACAGTACATTTTCCTCTTAAGGTCAAAACTGTTGGGTTGCAAACGGGCACACGCAAATGAACTGTTACCGAAGTCTTAACTGTGAGCCTGAAGGGCTAGGAGAATACTCTGAGCTACAGGGAGTGACATCTTTAGAAAGGAAAATCATTTGTTTCCCAAGGCTGTTCTGGGGAGCAAACAGAGTGTGAGGTGCTGAGAGCTGCTGAAATTAAAAGAAATGGAAGTCCAGATTCTCCACTATGGCGTGAACTGTCTGGTATGGATGAGACCTTCCTATGTAGTCCTATGTGAATTAACTGTGCTGCTACTCTGTGCCTTCCTCACCTGCTCACAGCAGGAAAAAGGGCCGTGGTGTAAATCAGAGCTCCCCAGCCCATGAAACTCTTGTTTTTGTGTGATCATCCCCAAGAGGTTTTGGCCTCTGGAGGCTGGTGGAGGTGCAGTCAGAAAGTACTTGGCCCCTGCACACACTGGGTGCAAATTAGCTCTTTATCTAAAGCC